GGCTGGAGCGGATCGCCCGCGACTTCCCGTTCGACGTCGTCCACGCCCAGCATTACGGCGGCGCCACCCGCGCCTCGTTCGCCTGCCGCCGCAACGGCTGGCCCATGGTCTACGAGATCCACTCGCTGCTCGGCGAGGAAGTCGAACGCGACCGACTCGGCCGCGGGCCCGTCTTCCGGGCCTATCAGGCCCTCGAACGCAAGGTCGTGGACCGCGCCGCGCAGGTGATCGCCCTGGGCGAGCCGGTGAAGGACGTGGTCGTCCGCGAGAAGAACGTCCCGGCCGACCGCGTGACCGTCATCTATCCGGGGATCGACCTGGGCGAGTACGAGCGGCCCGTCCCGGAGACGCCGATCCCGGGCGTGGGGCCGGAGCACAAGGTCGTCATGTACATCGGCAGCATCGTGCATCCGAACCAGGGGGTGCCGGTCCTGATCGAGGCCCTGCCGAAGATCTTCGCCGCCCGCCCCGACGCCCGCTGCGTGCTGGTCGGCGGCCCGGCCGAGGCCGGCGAGGAATACCGCCGCCAGCTCGGCGAATACGGCGACCGCCTGGTCGTCATCACCGGCACCACGCCCGAACAGGTCGTCGCCCTCAGCCGACGGGCCGACGTGCTGGTCCACCCCCGCCTGGCCTGCCGCGAGAACTTCTCGGTGCAGAGCAAGCTGGCCGTCTACCTCGCCGCCGGCCGGCCGATCGTCGCCACCGACTTCGGCGACTACAAGCGGCTGCTGGGCGACACCGGCGCCGGCGTGCTGACCGAGGTCGCCCCCGGGCCCCTGGCCGACGGCGTCCTCAAGGTCCTGGACGACCCCGGGCTGGCCGCGAGCCTCGCCGCCGCCGGACGCCCCGTCGCCGAGGAATACTTCGGCATGGACCGCAACGTCGACCGCTATCTCGACGTCTACCGCCGCGCCATCGAGCTCGGCCCCCGCGCGGGATCTTGACAGCCCCAGGCCTCCCCTTATAATCTGAATCCTCGCGTGCAAGCCCGTCGCCCTCGATCGACGCCGCACGCCGTCGCCACCTTAGCTCAGTTGGTAGAGCGCAGCTTTCGTAAAGCTGAAGTCCAGGGTTCGAGTCCCTGAGGTGGCTCTCGCTTCTCCCCCGCTCCCGGCTCATTCGCGTCGGCTC